CAAACCAGTAGTATAGGTTACTTTTACAAGTAAGCTATGTCAAGGAAATGCCAAATAGCTACTATACAGTTGGGGACCCCCCTACCATACCACTATTGTGACAAACCCCTACAATACAAGGTTACTATGGGTTATAAAAATAGGCAGAATTTAAAAAACAATATCAATATATATCATACATAAAACCGGATTCTGCAGAGCCGTCCATAGGTTGGGGGTCCCCCTATCAGATGGATTATAAGCTCACAGAACATAGTAATTTAGTAAAAGTAATGTTATTTATCTTAAAAAATGGACATGAATGATAACGTATTCCTAATTGGTCATGCTGAATCAGTATAGATTCAGACAAATATCTCGTCCGATTCTCGTCTTGCAGCTTGCATGGAGACAACCCAATCACCGTAACGGTCGGGAGCTTTCCTGTCCCGGTTAGACCGTCTTGGTTGGACACCATTATCTGTGTTTTCATCAGAGCTTATCCCCTTGGAATTTGCTGGCTCATCACCAGTATCCTGTACGGATTCATGTGCAGACTCCAGTACTGTGTCGTGCATAGTATCCTGTACAGACTCCCGCTCTAGGTCTAGGTTTTCCCTAGTTTCCAGAACCGATTTCGTTAAACTGGGATCCTGATCATAGATCACGGATAGGTCCCAACTTGGTATAGGGTTTCTCCGTGGTCGGTTACGAGGCCCCGTTCTAACAGGTAAGAGTACAGATTCCGATTCTGAATCTGAAGATGATGGGGTTTCGGGGATTTCCCGTACGGGAGGTACAAGCTTTTTGGATTTAACCTTTCGGTTATCCGTATTAGGGGGAACATCCACTGGGATGGAGGTAAACGGGAGCAACATGTTGCGGTGAAGGGTTCTAATTTTCTTAGGTCCCTTTCCCATTTCACGTGCAACCTCGTATACAGGAATGTCACTGTCTGGTTGGTTAATAACCACACAGGGTTCCTGTTCGCACCTATCAGCGAGCTTGTTTCGACCTTTCAGACCTACTTTCCTTATTAGGATGCGGTCTCCTACCTCTATCTTGGACTCTCGAACTGACCTGTCATATCGGTCTTTGTTCTGAGCAGCTTTCTTAGATGCGACCTGGCGTGCTGCCTTGTACGCAAATTCCATCCTGCCCCGTAGTTTACCCACGTAAGAGGATGGATCAACTGCTCCCTGTTGATCAGGTTCAATGCCTAGGAAAGCGTCTACCGACAACCGATGATGCCACCCAAACATCAGGTAGTGAGGTGCATAACCTGTGGCATCACTCTGTTGCATCGTAGGCTTGGACTAGGGGTGCTAGATACGGTTTCCAGTCAGTTTTTTTTCTTCCTCAAGGGTTGCGAGCATCCCAAGGAGAGTTCTGTTAAACCTCTCTGCTGACCCATTCCCCATAGGATGATATGGGGTGGTTCTGGTTTTTTTTACTCCAGCAATCCTACAGAGTTCCTTTATAACTTGGCTTTCAAAGTTTCGGCCCAGATCACTATGTAACCTCTCAGGGAAGCTGTAAAAGGCGATGAAATGTTCATACAAAGCCTTAGCTGTTGTTAGTGCCTTCTCGTTACGACAAGGCACAGCCTGAGCATACCTGGTGAAATGATCAGTAATGACCAGAATCTTCTCACAGCCACTAGAGGATTTGTCCACTGTGAGAAAGTCAATACAGACTTACTCAAGGGGTCTGGATGTTTGTATTGGAACCAGCTCAGCAGAGATTCGGACTGGTGTCTTACGACGTATGCAGCGCCCACAGGTCTCAACTTTCGTGTTTACGTCTTTCTCTAGACCTGGCCAGTAAAATCGTTGCCTTGCTAACCAAAGAGTTTTTTCCTCTCCCTGATGACCAACATCGTCATGCACACCCTTTAGGGCTAGGGAATGATACCGCTTTGGTAGAACAATTTGATGTACTTTCTGACCGTCAAGAGAAGCGGTTCTATACAGAACTCCGTCGCGCAACCACAACCTATTCCAAGTTCTTAGGAGATTTTGTACATATGGGGACTCATTTCTGAGTGTTTTCCACCTGGGATGAAAACCGGTTCTCTGTAGGTATGACACCCTCGCTATATCCTTATCAACCTGTTGTTCCTGCCTCCAGTCAACTGTACTAAGGTTGTCAGCTGGGTGCGTGCTCCCATTGGCCACATGAGGCACACCACCATACGACACACTATCCACTAAGGGTACTACAGTTATGGCAGACTGACAAATGGCCTCAACCACTGCAGGTTGAAGTTGAGAATATCTGCGAGAGAGACCGTCCGCATCAGCGTTGTTTTTCCCAGCTCGGTATTTTAAGGTAAAGTTATAATTGGCCAGAGCAGTCACCCATCTATGACCAGTAGCGTCCAACTTAGCCTTTCCTAGCACGTATGTAAGCGGGTTGTTATCTGTAACAACTTCAAATGTATTACCATATAGGTAATCATGAAGCTTGTCGGTCACGGCCCAATTAAGTGCAAGGAATTCTAGCTTGTGTGCTGGATAGTTCCGTTCACTAGGTCTTAGACCTCGACTGGCATACGCAATTACTTTTTCCTCTCCTTCATGCTCCTGATATAGTACTGCTCCTATTCCTAGGATGCATGCATCAGTGTGCAATTTGAATGGTTTGGTATAGTCTGCATATGCCAGCACAGGCGGGTTTGTCAGTTTTTCTTTCACTGCTTCGAAAGCTTGTTGCTGAGATTCCTCCCAGATCCATTTTGCTTTCACCGCAGGTTTCTTAGACTTGGACTTTGTAGTCTTTACAGTCTTTGACTTTTTTTTCAAGTCATGACCCTGCAACAGTGTATTGAGAGGTTGTACAAGCTTTGCGTAATCCTTTAGGAAACGCCTGTAATAGCCACTAAACCCCAAAAACTGACGCAGCTCTTTTACATTCTTCGGTGCTGGCCAATCTTTCACAGCTGATACCTTTTCGGGATCTGTTCCGATACCATGTTCTGATACAACATGACCGAGATATGTGACGGATGATTTGAAAAACTCACACTTGGATGGTTTCAGTTTCAAGCCATGCTGCACGAGCCTGGTAAATACAGCTTCTAACCTAGTTAAGTGTTCGTCAAAAGTCTTGGCAAATATGAGTATATCATCAAGGAATATAAGAACTTCCCGAAGATGCATATCGCTCATGCATTTCTCCATCAACCGTTGAAATATGGCAGGAGCACAAGTTAGACCGAACCCCATGCGATTGGTTTCCCAGAATCCTAGGTTACCAACAGAAAGGCGGTTCGTTCCTTGTCAGATTCCTCTACCTCAACTTGCCAATAACCACTGCGCAAGTCTAACTTCGAAAAATACCTGGACCCAATTAGGGTATCCACCGTGTCATCGAAGCGAGGGAGCATATATGCATCCTTCCTAGTGCGAGAATTGAGCATGCGATAATCAATGCAAAAACGGAGAGAGACATCTTTTTTTCGTACAAGTACGACATTGCTTGAATATGGACTATTACTCTCACGAATTACACCGGCATCTCGCATTTCTCGTAAATGTTGACGGACTTCCTCATACATACCAGCCGGTATTTTATGATAAGGCTGTTAAAACGGCCTTTCGTCAATGAGGTCTATTTTGTGTTTTACAATGTCCGTTTTGCCTATGTCGAAAGCACTAGTTGAAAAAGCATGCTTCCAATTACCAATGACTTGACGAACCCTCATCAGTCGTTCACCAGTAAGGTTTTCTGTATCAATTTTTACCCCAAGTTCATCAGGCACTAACTCAGTACCTGTGCTGGACGGTACGTCGGACGCTAAATTATCTGCCACTTTCACCTGGTTAACCACACAAAGTGAAGCCTTTGGTTTTATTACCACTGACTTAGCTGTGATATTACAGATTTTTACTGGTACCCTTAGCTTTGACACATTTTGTTTTACCTTAACCACTCTGGGACAAACTGTATATCTTAGGTCAGAAGTGTCGCAGTTTTCAGTGACAATGTCTGTAATGTCCGGGTCTAAACCTCTTACCATACCACTGATAACAATCGATTCATAGGGAGCTAGTTTCACAGGTTTCCTATTTATTGACTTTACTGTGTAAGAACAAGTAATACTTTCGATAGCTGTCCTCCACTCAGCTGGTATATCAGTGGTTTCAGGAGTGATCGTTTTTACTAAACGAATGACATTGGTACCTAGCAGCACTGTACATGCTAGGTTGTAATTAGTATCCGGTACTACCAAGGCTAGTATGCGAAATTGCTCATCAGCCATAAATGGCACTTGTGTTTCAAATTCAATATACCCTAGGTAGTTTAAAGGTGATCCATTTGCCACGGTTATGTCTAACCCTAAGGTGTCTAAATTGTGTAGTTCTGGTCTATTATTAAATGTTTTATATAAAGACTCAGACATGGTAGACACCATAGAGCCACTGTCTATAAGACATTTAACCCTATGACCTTGAACCACAACGTCACTTTCGTTAGCTACCCCGAGTAGCCTGTCCAATATATTCGAGTTTGTACGACCTTGAGACATATCTTCGGTCCCTGCTTGGTCTACAGCAGCGACCATTACTCGTTTGGGTTTTTCTTTGACCTTGTTTATTTTCATGACCGGACCCATTGCCTGATCTTTGACCCCTGTAGCCATGACCTCAACCCGTTCTTTGACCTTGACCTTGACCCCTACCCTCCTTGGAGGATGTGTCACCAAGTTTTTTCAGTATCTGGTCAAACCTGTTTTTTATTTGTGTACCAAGTTTGTCTTCCAGGGTTTTAAGTTTCCCATCAAACTCTTTACTTAGGTCACTATTGCTAGTAGTAACCTGCTGTGAATCAACCTCACAGTTGACTGCATGACTTTGACTTTTTTTCTTATGACCTTGAGCCTGAGTCGAGGTTGTCGCGCTGACGCTGGAAATACTAAGTTCCTTGTCTACGGTCCTAATCTCCCGTAACAATTCATTGAAACTTGTTATAGAGTCGTATTTATGTCTCGTCTGACTCTTCAGTTTGTCCGAACTTAACTAAGTCCAAAATTTATGTCTTAACAGGTCGTTTTTCGATGCCTTATTTAGGGATCCACTCTCAATCGCTGTTTGTAACAACGACTCGAGACGACAGCCGAAATTGGTGACAGACTCCCCAGGTTTTTGAGCAGATTTAAAAAACTCTTGCATTAGCATACCATGAGTGGACGTTTCTCCAGACAGGGCATCTAATTTGTATAAAACCTCTTTAGGGGTTGCCTTCTCCCCCAGTGGAATGAGCATGCGTCTGGCTGTACCCCTTAAGGACCTTCTTATTGCCTGTTCTAGTAAACTCTGAGAAATTTCTGTATCCCCATCCAGGCAACGAATCTCGAACCTCCATTCAGGGTAAGTAACATCACCCTTTAAAGGGGGATCCTCACCCGAGAAGGGGGGAACTTTAGGGACTGCATGGATATGCGACTGACTTGTTCCAGTTTGATCCATGCACGAAGAGGAACCACCGGTCCTATCCCTTCTGAAAATAGGTACCTTAGGCTTTTCCTCATAAAGCCCTGGATCCATGAAGGAAAAGGAACTACTGGCTCTCTCCTTTTTTAAAAGAGGAGCTTTAGGACTTTCCTCCCTTTCGCCATCTAAGTCTAGATTTAAGCCACCTGAGGCTAAAGGCATGATAGAGGGCAAAATTACATACTTCCCCAATGCCTTTAGGGCTTCTACCATCTCATTCCCACTCATTTCCCTAGCTTTGAGTCCCTCATCACTGTGAGGGTGACTTGTAGGCCCCACGTTGGGCGCCAATGTAGAACTCGAGACTATTTGATATACTTTGATTTCGCACCATCATATACACTTATTTACAATGACATGAATATGAATACATAGAAATGGAATGACGTAATGATAAAACACAGACTTACCAGGGACTATGGGGTGATGCTTGGTAACGTGCAAGAGCTCCTCTCTCAACGGGTGATAGCTGGAGTGTGTGGGTTGGGTGATGTGTCAGGTAAGGGTGGTCACGGGTAGACGTGGAACCCGTGGAGCACGGATTCCCACTACCTGTGACGTGACGCAATGCGCGCGCGGGAAGACTCTGTCGTACCCGTATTATTTACCTTGGTTACATACAACAAGTAGTTACTTGGTAAGTGACCTTAACCACTCTTCTTAACCATAGTGTAGATGGGGCCTGACCTCAACCATTCTTATTAACCTAGTCAGTCCAGCGGAAAATGTAGGTCAGAAGCAGCATCCGAAGCATCGCATGTGATAAACATCCTTAGATACATACGCCATGCAAATTTAGTTGATGAACAACAAGTGGTTATTTAGTTACTGAGCTTAAGCAATCTTCTTAACCTGGTCCGACAAGCGGAAAATGTAGGTCAGAAGCAGCATCTGAAGCATCGCACGTGATAAGCATCCTTAGATACATAAGCCATGCAAGTTTAGTTGATGTCCAACAAGTAGCTACTTGGTAACAAAGCTTAAGCAATCTTTTTAACCTGGTCACTGAAGCGGAAAAATCGCAGGTGATAAGCAGCCTTAGAATATAAGCCATACAAGTTTCGTTGATGTAGGCTAAGTAGTTATTTGGTAAGTGACCTAAACTAATCTTCTTAACCATAGATGAGGCATGAGCATCCGAAGCATCGCATGTGATTAGCATTCTTAGATACCTTAGCCATGCAAGTTTAGATGATGTGGGATAATAACTTGAAAACTGATCTTAACCATTCTTCTTAACCTTAGTGCAAAAAGACAGGCAGACAACCAGACATACAGTCGGACGGACGGACGAAATTGCCAATCTATAAGCCCTGATTGCGTTGCAATCAGGCCCCAAAAAATTATAATATCTTTTAAAACCAAATAAATGATATTAAGCAACTAAGATTTTGAAACTTTTTGATAAATGGAGATGTATATTTCAATGGCATGAAGCTTCAGGTGTGAATTTGCATATAGGAATTTTATTCTTGGTAAAAAAATACAGAAATAACATTCGTGAGGATTTGTAAAACAATTAAATTTTGTTTTCAAATTTATTTTTCTATAAATGATTTAACATGATTATTTAATTGATTTTTGATGAAGTGAAGTTGAAATTAAAAAACAATTTCAAGTGAGTTACAAGAATGTTGGTTTGAGCACAAAATCTTTGCTTCAGCACGATAATGATTTTATGAATACGGACCCTGGTGTTGAGTCCCACCCTTCAACAACGTTTTTTCTTCTTCATAGATACAGACCAGGGCGTGATGGACAATTTTCTGGGGGAAAATCAAAACAGAAATAAATTATTTTGAATGGTTCATATATGGACTTGTAAACTGAAGGTTTTACTATCGTCTGTATACCTTTCAATGCGATGTGCTTTGTTCAATTGTGTTAAGTTTGATTTTCATGTATTTAACTCTTTCATGAAAACTTAATCATATGGTCTTATCTCTTCGACTTTTTTAGTACAAATCAGGAGGAACCCCGGGCCGTATTTCCGAGATGACAAACGCTGCGTATTAATGCTGTTTCATTGTAAAACAAAATGAAAATGTTAATATCTAAGTGATCTGTGCACTTCCAGCTTAAATCTTTATTTCAGATTTCAAAACTAAATAAATTACATGTTTTCAAGGTATGTGATAGGCAAATGCATGCATTTAAAAAATAAAGGTTCATTGTTGTCATTGTTGCAACAACAACAAAATCAAAAGGAAAATATACAATAAAAAAAACAGTTTATTAGGTAAATTTTTCTAAGAATGAACATTGTGTACTGATTTTAGATATGTATGGATAAATCAATTCTAAAGAGCGCAAATCCCACTAGTATAGTATTAATTATTACCTGATTATTATCTATTTTTTAGATATCCAAAACCCGCTATCACCAGGCTCCGTTTGGTGTGCGCACGTAAATATTTTTTACTTTTGGTTATTCCAGTCGCAACAAGCTTAAACATTTTTTTTAACGCTCGATTCTTGTTGTGTATTCATAATAATTGTGTGTATAGTATATATCCTATACACTGCCCAATCCCCAACCCACCCAACCCATCCTCCAATCGGTGTGGAATAGTTGTCAATAATTTATATCACACCCAAGCATTAATTAAATGGGTCAGCGAACCATGATACTAGATACGTGATAATTTGTTACAGCTATATTTGGACCTTACAAAAATGCCACCCCAATGATGATATATCTATCTATCTACCGTTAATGACCAACTTCAACTGACTGAAGGAATGTCATGTGTTCCCAATTCCCTGTGGTTTGTACTTGTTATTAAATACATTTGCAAGAAGGACAATACAGAAGTACGACCGATGGTCACATTCGGGAAGTAAGTTAAGTTCTTTAAATTCAAATCGTTACAATGGATACATCTTTCTAACCGGTTACTGATACATTGGCGGATAAAATTGGCGCCAGTGTGTACGATACACAGCTAAATGAAGGGAGGTAACTCGTGTGACAGGTGCTCGAAGTTTTTGCATCCAATCACATCAACCGGTGCATTGTGACGTCACAGGTCATGGTTAATGGCGGATTTTAGATGTAAAGACACTTCAGAGAAACGAAAAAGCAACAGATGAACAGACACCAGGCCAATTATTGAGTTTTCAAGGTAAATATCAACTTCAGATCTACAGCATTTATCACCTAGATTACATAGATTGTTCGGACAAGTTCCACACACAATGGAATCTCGTCAAGTTTGCCGGGACAGGCATTGTTTATGTTTTGCTAGGCAGGTGGTTTCGTGATACTAGGTGAGCAAACTGGTTCTGTAAAGAAAACAGATATAAAATACTGAGTTTTAGTTTGTTGATATTCCATGTGAGCATAGTAAATATAACTGTAGGTCATCAATGGGAGGAAAAATAGCGCTTATTTATTGTAAACACCGAAACAAATAATGACATGCTGCAAAACGGGCCTTCACCATTCCAGTTTTAACTCGTTTTACAACAATAACCAACTTCAACGCTGAACAGATTATAATATTTGGGTTCGTTGAGTTCGAATGAAGACAACTTGTCGTGGTTCTGTTGTGTGTGAATGGAGACTACATCAAAGGTCATGGACAGTCTTCAACCCCCCCCCCCCCCCCCCCCTCTTCTCCTCACAGTTAAGCTATATCATAATGGTTTGGGAAACCATAACAAGGTTTACCGAGTCAACTGCATCGTCATTATGAGGCGAGGAAGAAAAAAGAAGAGATAAAGTAGTTAAACACAAAATTAATTGAGTTACAATGATTTCAAAACAAGTTTTATCATTTTTTTTTAAAAATTCTTGTTAGCCTGAAGGAAAGCACAGAGTAGGGTCTTTGTTTCAGAGAAAACTGGAGTGCCCACAGATAATCGAGGATGATAGGGATTTCAAAATTGAAAAGGGCAAGTGGAAGTTATGACCACACCGAATCCCAAGTTGAGTAAATTTTGTTTAAAAGTCGGTACATGGTTAAAACAAGGCAACATAAGTCAATGATAGGCTTTTACAATCCTGGGCTGCATGATAATGAATAGATATAGTATATCTGCCACAAAAATATAGTTGGTAAAGTGACCTGCAATCTTCAAGTAAAACCCACAGAAATTGACCATCTCCTCTGTCTAATTCTTTATTACCTGCCATCACTTACTTCTTCGTTTTTTAGTTGTCGGCTAGCTTTTGGCAATGTTTATTTAACTTGTCCACCCCTGAAATTTGATGATGGAAATTCAAACCTTTGAATTGGAAGAGTTGAAATTTGTCTTGAGGGGTGAATAAGCGAATTAATACCTCTGCAGATTAGGTTTTAAACTGTAGGTAGGAGCAAACACCAGCATGCACATTAGCTCATGCAATGCAAGCTGTTTGTTTTCACAACTGTATATACAACTGTACTGCTGACTGAGTTTGATCAGACCGATGTAAGATTTTGCGTATTATTTACAGTTCATGTCATCTTGAATGCAGAGTTATCATTTCACTTCCGCAACAGCTTTTGAAGAGAGGAAGTGTTTTTGTAATCCATTTGATAATGTGCAGCCAAAATCATTTTGTGACTATGCTTTACATTGAGTTTCATTGTTCTTTTATATCCTTAGTAAAATTAGATAATAGTGACTTGTCGCTTTGAGTTGACCATGAAGGCACAATAGTCTAGTGGAAGGATGCCAGGCTCGTGACCGAAGGGTGGCGGGTTTGAGTCACGTCACGGCACTGTGTTGTATCTTTGAATGAGATACTTTGCTCCACTTGTTCCAGTCTACTCAGCTGTAAATGAGTACGTGGCAGGGCAGTGCTAGAATTGTCGAATGCTAGCTGTGAGCGCCGAAATGGCAGCACTGGCTGTATGCTCTGCAGGGAGTTGAGAAAGATATTGGCTGGTTGCAAAGGCCCTATAACTACGGATAATAATTTGTGAACCGGTTTGAAATAACCTATGAACTAGGTTGCGATAAAGTGGTATATAAGAACCTCAAATTGTTTTTATTATTATTACCATTCTGGTGAAAATTCATACTGGACGATTATGCTCCTTGTGTATAAGGTACCATGTGTACCTGTTTATTGATGTACAGGTGTATCCGAACATTATACACGTTCAGAGACAGGTTTTCAGTAATCCTGTCAGCTTAACTCCTTCGAATCGCCCCTACATATTTAAACTGGACTTGCCCAATCTTTGATTTGGTAGGGTTCAAATCTGACTCTAGGGGAGAATGTGTTAACAATTGATTAGATGTGGTAATCAGAAGTATTCCGATTCTTCAACAATTGCAAGCGATTTCTGGGGAACAAAAGCGTTTTGCTTTTGCATGTGAAAATATGTAAAACAAAACAATGCACATGTGTATAATATAATGACGAAATTTTGAAACATGATATTATACTTATGATTTGTACATGTATGTTTGTTAATATAATTAAGCTTTTTGAGACTGGTCCCTGGGTTATATGTTTAACGGGCAATATACAACACAGGTAACATGAATTTCCATGGAAACGGATTTTTTTTTTCGATACATGTAATAACAAATATGTTTACATGCAGTTCAACACATGTTGAAACTAAAAAAAACACTACAAAATGAAGGACACAATCATCGTGAGGGACGAATTACAAATTTACGATTCATCAATGATATCTCTGATGCAGGCACAACAAACAAGAGTGATGAAGATAAATTTTGAATATTTTTTTTAAAAAGTGTGAATTAAGTTTTCCGATTGGAAATAAATAAAAACAAACAGCCTAAAAATCACTGTTAAGATTCCAAGAAACCTAAACAGTTTTGTCCTGGCCCATACCTCACGCTCTGCAATGACTATACCTTTGAAGAGTCATAACAACTGTTTCTCTTATATATATACAGTACACATTCTTAATTTTTATTAAACTTTTTGTATACCAGTAACATAGATCTACCTCTTTTCCCTATCTGAGACTCAACTTGCCTGTAATCAATACATGTACATATGGTAATTCAAGGTCAACACAAAAGGTCATTGTAATTGGATTGTAGCAACTTGGAAAATGGCTGACATGTAGTTCGTTGAATAAAAACTCATATGCTCACAATATCCTTAAAAAAAGTTTCCTGGAGTTTGAGTACAGATCTGCAAATCCAGGTAATATGTTGAATTTCTTCCACAAATAATGATGTTATTATTTACTATGAGTTTGTTGTGTGTGCAGAATCACATTCCCCACTGCTGTAAAAAACATCAATGCTGAAAACAGGACTCATACAAGTTTCCCTTTGCAGTAAATTTCTGTGCATGACTTACCAATATCCCATAACCCTTTCACCACCATAGACCATAATTGACTCATTCCCAGAAATGCATGCATGGTAGAGTCTTCTAAAGTTACCTAGGGGTGAGAGGGTTAACATTAGTAATTTCAATATACAGTTGTTTCATGCAACCAGATGAACCGCAGGGCGAAAGAAACAGTTAGCAGTTAGTTACGGTAGCACACATTAGCTATAGTTTTTTGGTGAATTGTCTGGGAAATAGTCGAATTTGATTAATATGCATTTATATACCTATATAGCGAGTCAGGTAACAACTTGAACTGGTACAGTCAATCTTAAGAGTCGAAGCTTATTTTGGGGGTTCAAAAATTGTTCCATCAAATGTACATGTCTAATTCAAGCTTTGAAAATGGCATCACATTATTGGAAATAAGACATCTTGTTGGCCAATGTTTGGTGAAAAAATGTCATCTGAACATATCCTGAAGATTTATTGGGTAAAACTATGTAAATATGTGTAAAGGTTAATGAATACACTCATATTCATTGTCTCAAATAACAAAGTATTTGGCAGAACGTTTATTGACTAATGTCCTTAAAGTTCAAGTTCCTGGACTGTCCAAACACTTTTACACTGTTTACCTTGTAGAAATTAATTGTCACCCTCTACAATGTGTATATAATGTAACACTAAATATAGCTTCAATTTAATCACTTAACAAACTGATTCCACTATTACTGTTTTGTTAAGGGGGCTGCGGTGGCCAAGTGGTTAAGGCGTCTAACATTCTGCTACCACTAGCCGGCCTCCACCACTGGGTCTCAGATTCTAGGCCTACGTGGGGCAGTTGTCAGGTAATGGCCATAGGTCGATGGTGTTTCTCTGGGAACTCTGGTTTTCCTCCACCACCAAAACCTGGCATGTCCTTAAATGACCATAGCTGTTAATAGGACGTAAAACACAAACAAACCAAACCAAAAAAATCAATGTTGTGTTTTACATGGGAATAAGCGAGGAATTCTGTATTTCGGTTAGGTTCATAGTAACCAGGTGTACACAATAACATAATTAAAGTATTAGTCTGCAGGCAGGTTTCATAATATTCTACTAGCCCAACATTCATGCGTAAAAATATTAGTAATTTATTTTAGCTATTCCCCCGATGCTAGATTTTTTCAGGTTATAATATATATAACTTAAAAAACATAAAAAGTGATGATATTGTATGCCGTATCGTTTGGCACACCCCATGGAACATTGCGGTATATGACATCATCATAATAGCTCTCCAGGCGTCAGACAGGTGAAACTGTAGAACATGTACTTGTAGACATGCAAAGCAATTAATAAATAACAAATTTAAAAGTTTCAACTTCCCCTTTACTCAGTTTATCCTGTGCTATAGTTAGCCTAGTTAGGCTGTATAGAATTATTACATGTATCAGCAAATGACACCGGTATTAGGTGATATGTGGCTATATACGGTTTAAATTTCCGTTGCAAGTTCATCTTATAAGTGTTACCAGATGAAATCGTCTTCGTAGGACTATGACAGTAATTTTATCAGCATCATTTTGAAGCTTCTTCTACCACCTGGAATAACTTACTTATACAGGTCTATGGAATTGAGACCAGTTTTAGAAGCAAACATTTTGGTGACGTTTGGCTGTTGCAGGAATCTCATTTGCACCGACAACACAGACAAGTAACTTCTATATCAGATATATAAGGGAATATCTATATATTAGGTCAATATAATAAATTTAGAATGTCAATATAAAGATTGAACAGCATTTTACAATGGTCATGTTCACATACCATATATAAGGATTGAACAGACATTTAGTCCTTATTTATAGACACCAACCCTGTACACAAACCCACCATGCCTCGATGGTGATTTGTACATGGCTATACTATTATAAAGGCATTAAACTGGTATATAAACCCATTCACTGCCAATGATTGGGTGATGTATAGCAAGGAAACGTCAGTGGCTGGATAAAACAATTCCCAAGTGGCGTCTTTCCTGCCTGCTAATGTTGGTACCACATTAAACCTGAGGATTAAATGTGACACTGTCGGCGATACCAACAGATGAAAGCACAAAATCTGGTTAGGCCCTTTCACCACTGTAGAACGTAATGGACTTATCCAGATCAATGCATGGTAGAGTCTACTAAATTTGCATAGGGTTGAAAGGGTTAGGATTCAGTGAGTTCTGAGCTTATCTGTGAATCAATGGTCAAGCTGAAAAAATCATTGCTACTTGCTTAGTGTTAGGAAATCAATACAGCTAGCGGTTACTTACTTACTAAGGTGGAAAATCAGATAAATTACACGTATAAGTCATCAATTAATATTTGGTTCATAATTACTTGGGCTACACATGTGCAGTTGTCAATTGCACAAAGTGTGAAAGAAATATTACAATTTGGCAAAAATGATTCTGAGGTTCGAAACAAAAGGCTACAATTTTATAGACTAATTGTACTAGTTTCCTACATTGTATTTTTAAAGGAAACAAACAATGGAAAAAAAAGGAAATTATGGCCAGTTTTTCCATCTGTGTTAACCTTTTACCCCAATATTATAATCCATCATGGACTGGGGATCCAGATCAATGCATGGTTGAGTTTATTTTGGGTGAAAGGGTTAAGAGAATTATTTCACGAACAGAGAAAGTCGGAATTCCAGAATGGTCCGAAAATTTGTATTTTTCCGTTTCTAAGGTTGGTGAATCATGCCTCCAATCAGTATCGGATTGCCTCTAGGGACGGTTAATAACTCCAGCTATAAAAAGGGGCATTTTGGTGGTAACAGAGAGTTGGTTTTAGGCCTCCCGAGACTAGGGATGGATAAGGAGGTGATAGCTTATAGTGACGAGGAAACTGCAAATGACCGTTTTACTACAGAAATCAATAGGGTTCAGTGACACTAGCAGGATAAAACGGGATTAGGCATGGGATTCGTTCTCTCATAATGTGCAACAAAGCGACGTTTAATTACACATTTTGTGATTATTGAGACTGGAAGACTGAAAGGAAACACCAACCGTTTTGCCTCTCCACTGAATTTGTGACAAACTGTAATTGAACTAATGAGGACTGTATTATGCTTGATAAAAAAAAAACAACACTACAATGGATTTCTTTTTTCACTTGCATGTTTTAAAGTGTCTGAAAGCTTAAGCCATCTGGATGTAAACCAGTACCATATTTTAAAGCATTTGCAGTGTTTTTGAAACCTACATTTTACAACAGCCTGTTCATTTATGAATTGGGAAAATATAACATTGAAAGGAATTTATTCCTTAGTTTATGGTCATTTTGCGAAATAAGGCACTTTTTAGCAAGGGGAAACAGCCAGTATTTGGCAGTAAAGCTGAGCAAAAAATCACTGATTTGTTCAAATTATTTTCTGGGGATGTGTTTCCGTAAGAGACACATCTGGAGATGCCTTTTACAGTTTTTTGAAATTTGAATATTTTGATTTGATGGATAACATAAAACTACAATCCATCGCCGGTCTGACACTTTACCAATGTTAATACTCAGAAACTGGATATTCCCAGGATTGAAGTGTAAAATAAATGGACTGAATGTCGTGCCAAGGCAAGTTACACTAACCCTTTCACCCCAAGGTAACTTAAGTAGACTCTACCATGCATTTATGGGGCATGAGTCCATTATGGTCTACAGTGGTGAAAGGGTTAAGAAAGAGACAGTCTTTTAGTTTGTTAAGAGATACCCGAAGTCCCCTAATCTGATGAGTACAATATACTTAAAACTTGACATTTTGGCATCATATGCAGGGCTTTAAGTATTTTTTGACTCCCCACAGTCAGATTTGACATTTGGGTTTTAAGGATAGGTCTATTTAACATGTTTTCACTTTTGACTCTTCAAATTTCAAGGACATTGTTATTTGATTTCAGAAATTGTTAAAGTCAAGTGTCAATTGAAAGCCCTATTTTGTCTTGTAGATTAATTATAAGCTGGTAGCAAAAAACAATTTTGAAGTATTTATGTTTTGTTTGAAGCAAAATTTACATGTATAATTAAAAATATTTAAATTGTGTTTCCAGAAAAGAGACCAAGAACTTCAGACCATGGTTTAGAATTATGAAATAGGACAACACATTATAGGGAGGAGCCAGATGTGACAAGGTAGAAACAAGGGGGAGATAACACCCTTACAGGACAGGAACAACACAGGGAGACTGTGCACAGCTACCGGTATAAGCTTGGAGACAGTATGGGGGTACCATTCATCCAGGTGAGCAGTCAGAAATGAAATGATGAAATTTGGCAACAAAATATATATATATATGGTACTCAATGTTCTTAAAATTGGAATATCATTATATTAATCCAAGATTCATTGAATTTATTAACTCCTTTACAAAATATTAAAACTGTGTGGTATATACATGTATTAATCTAAAAACAGTCTCCAACAATGCATATTTGTCCTAATGAATGAATGATAAAAGTAATTAATTATAATTAACACTTGAATCAGTTTTTCTCCACAGTGTGTACAAACCTCTTAAATTTTAAAATTCAGTTCTGCCTATATTTCAACACCACCAAGAATGCCTCCTTCCCCCCCCCCCCCGCCATTTTTTTACAAACCTGTAGTTTTACTATTTAAATTACTGATTGCATGATAATAAAACCAATTCCTGTGATAAGTTTAATCACATAAGCATCAATGCAAGTAGAGCCATGGAAATATTAAAGCGGGACTCCAGTCCCAGGGACAACCTTGGTTTTAACCTGTCATCACATGCTGCTGCTAGTGTGTGTGGATTGTGGCGGATCGTAATTTGTCAGAGATTTAAAACCATAGAAGTTGAGGTCAAGGGCGGCTGGAGGTGGATTTTCCAACATCAATGAATTAAGGAACTGTGATAATTACCGTTATCAATTATGCATCATGCCACTGGTTTGTGCATCGCTCAACACATAGCTTATTGATTGGCAAAGCACGCCTAGCCGATTAAGTATGTACTGTAGGTGCCAAGCAAGCACAACCACCGAGTGAGTCATAATCCTGCTCATCAATGGATAGGACAGTTTGACCTTGACCTCTCCTGACCCGTCATACAGTTATAATGGTCTGGCTAAAATCACTAGGATAAAGGGGAATAATCCAAAGATCAACCTGTATGATGTTAAGAGATCCTAGGTCAGCTTGTGTAATGGAGGATGTTTCCAGCTTATACTCGCGTGTAACTCATGGCGTTTGAGCAGATAATACCTCACTAATGTTTCATTATGTCTTAGAGAATTCCTGTCTACAATTGTGAGCTAACAATCCTCGTATCGTATGTAAGATTTTCATCTGGCAGTGCAACTGTTTGGGTATTCAGGCGGAATTCTGGAGAAGCTATGTTAAAACCAACCCAAGCTTGTCTACCAATCATTGTAAATAGTTTCTTTGATAGAAAATTGAAGACAATTGCATCACGTATAAAAAAATGAATAAAAGTGCATCACTATTAAGTCTGTGGGAAATTAATGGAGAATCAGGTCACAGAAGGGATCAATCCTCCAAATGCAGATGATAATTATCTGTTGTCGTATTTGTTTTGAACATTGGATGGTTTCATTATTGATTCTTCAGCAAGAATCTCAATGATTTTATATCATGAATTTTCATTAACCTAAGCTGATAGCCTTGCGTAATTTGTTTTCAGTTTTCAATTATGTATAAAATTTCTTTTTGATTCATTGATTTTCTTGCGCATATAGAATTAACAAATTTTAACATCTTTGCCGTAGATTGTTTTCAATTAGAAAAAAAACACCGAAACAATTGGATTCATGATGCTGAACCTTGGGAGTGCCATGCCTTTTCTACTAATTTTATTTTGGAAACAACAAAACTTTTATAGAATAAGGATCACATTCTGGATTCAATGTAGAAATTTCGCCCCAAAATAGATTTAAATTTCTAACCAGTTTAAATTCATCTGTAAAATATTCTTTTATTTCTTTTTTATGAAATTAAACATTTGACTTTGTATTGCAAGCTTTCAATTTAAAAAAACAAAATAAAAAATTCTTGAGAAGCAATCAAAAAATTTAGATTTGAATTAGATTTGTGAAAAAATTATCTAAATTCTTGGAAAAACATTGTTTCTGATGTTTCTATAGGTCTGAAGAAATTATTTTTTCCTGTTAATTTATACAGTCTGTCATTCATGGACTTTTTTTGACTAAAACCTTCTTAATGACACACTTTTAATTATGCAAAAACAGTATATGTTCAGCCAAAACTCCTTTTAAGTTGCAAATATATAGTTTATTTCAATTAATATACTGACATACCTACTTGTGAGGGAGATTATTAGTACACACTGGTTAGAAGTTCAGGGGTGAATTTTGATTGTTAATCTGTTCAATTTTATGGACAAATCAAATAGTAATATTTGGTAGTTTTTCTCCAGTTCAACACTAACAAAGGAAATTAATCTGAATAATGAACAGTTGTTGCCCTCTAAACAGATATAAAAAGGGATGGCATTTTTACCTGCCTGACTTTATATATGTGTGTTTGCTCAGGGTGCTAGGGTCTACTCCCACTTGAGAACTCCCTGTGCACTTGCGTCCCAGCCAACAAGAAGAGAAATTGTTAAAAAAAAAAGTTGTTTCATAATAAATTAATTGTCAAAATACAAAAAAGTTTACATAATTCTTACTTGCCACGCTGCTCTGTGATTGGTCATTTGACAGATTCTCAACTCCACCAGATACAATAAGATTGAACTGTTGATAATTACAGGTACTGAGCTGATACAATAAGGTTGAACTGTTGATACTTACAGGTACTGAGCTGTGATCATGTCTTCATATGATGAGCTGCTGAAACAAGTCGAGAGTTTAAAAGTTGAAAACTCCACACTTCGCCAGGAGCTTAACGACAATTCTTCCCACCTTAGCCAACTGGAGGATGAGGCGGGTAACTTGAAAGATGTTCTTACACAGGTAAAAATGTCCTCTTACATGTTAACATGTACTACATTTAGAACACATGCTTGTTATAATTGTTTATCAATAAATATGTTGACATAATTTTTTCTTCCTAACTGTATGTGACTACAAGGTTCATTTAAAAACTTCTATGAATTTTGTTTTCAAAAATCAAAGTTTTAATATTTTTTATTTCACCGAAGGAAAATTCTCCAAAATAGATCTGAAAAAAATTGGCTAAATTATAAAAAAAACCCAGTAAATATTCCAGCTTAAAATGTCATTTTTAAAGGTAAAGGAAGTTCTTCCAGAGGAAAGTTACCTATGATTAGTAAAGGACTTGAGATGTGTGTCTTGCGTTGTGTATCACTGTTCCAAACATTAGTGAAATATTTTGTTGCTCAGGTGAAGAGGCCGATGGATGAGGAGGAAATAGCTTGTGATGGATTTGATGAGGAGGGGATTCACATCTTTGCCCAGGGAGGGGGAGGAGAGAGCCGGGACATGGACCCGAACGGTAAGTCATTGTCCTACTTCAAAACACTAACCACACTTCTTTAATTTGTTAGTCGACTGTCAAACATGAGTCGTCAATATTTTCAAGATTACTACCAATCATACTTTCATTTTCAGCTATTTTTGTTTTTGAAGGAATAAAAACAGAACATTATCTGACGCATGATGAATAATTTCACACATATCCTTGGTTTTCTAGCTATATAACAAAATTCTATACAATAGCAGACATCAAGGATTATTATTGAACTGGGATAAAGATGCCCAGAACTCAGCAGATTTATTGTCCTGGAGTCCAGAAGCAACATTTTTCCTAGTTTCCCTGTGTCTATATGTCTAACACATACTGAGTATGGAAGGGAGACATTCGCATCACTGTTAATGTTATGTTTCCTTAACTCATTCACCCTTGAAGTTTCATAATGAACTATTCTAACCGTTGAATTGGAAGAGTTCAAATGCGTCTTCAGGGGTGAATAAGTTAATAAAAATTCAAAAATAGTCAACATTAACTTCCATGTTGTCAAGTTCTTTTACAGTTTATTTGTTTGTCTATGTAGTTGGTAATCTCATATAACAGCCACAGAATCAGTCTGTTTAAATATTTCTAATATTTAATCTTACCACCAGATGCAAACTTAAACCAACATTTTCATAGGTTAGAATTATTATGAAGATAACTTGCTGAGATCTTAACAAGATGTTAGAATATTAGCCATGTTCGACTATATTTACCAGAGGTAATTTGTGTGTGCCCACCAAAGGTCAGTTTTGTATGCTAATTGAAGGTCACTGTTATAATTATCTTACATAAGATCACTTGGACACTCACAAAGGTCATTATTGTATGTTCCCTAAAGGTCATTATTCATTATTGTATGTTTACAACACTTATAAGGTCACTGTTATACGTTCGTGAAAGGTCAATGCACAGTCATGTGAAACATCTATTGTATGTTTACGAAAGTTGTCTATTGTTCATTAATGAAAGGTCACTATTGTACTTTCAAGAAAAGACAAAAGGTTATAATCTGTACAATTCAGATTCATGGGATTGCCTTTAAATCATAAAGCGTCGTGAACTAGAACCAAACACTACTTCTGTTAAAACATATATTGGTGATCTTCTGATAAACAACATACTTCCACATCATTCGGAATTGGAAAAGCAGTGTTTATGACGTCGGGCGTCGATGGGAGAAAACACAGATTTGGAATGTATTGATCATGGATTTCGAAAGTGTAGAGAATATTACCTCTGAGTTCCTATTTCAATGGACTGTTTCATATAAAAATCTGAAAATCAATAACGTCTCTGGGGGATTCTGTACAGTGATAGTATCTTTGTGTTACACTTGTCACTCTGAATCTATGTCAATGACAACAGGCACAGAAGTACTGTAATATTACTGCCGGGGTATTTTCGTCGAATCATGTATTAAAGTTGGAGAATAGAATTGGGTCGATAAGATATCTGGAAACAGAAATATTGTTTTGTTTGGCCTTCAGAATGTAGCAAACATTTACTGTAAAAATTGGAATTTTTTGCTATGGAAACCACAAAATACTGCAATATTTAGATAACTGTCATGCAATGTGACAATTAATGAAGACAAGTACATCAATTTAACCTGACTTAAACAAAGGTTGTAGATATAGACAGGTGGTGGTTATAGACTGGTGGTTGTTATAGACTGGTGGTTGTTATGGACAGGTGATATTTATGAACAGGTGTTAGTTATAGACAGGTGGTTGTTATGGACAGGTGATATTTATGAACATGTGTTAGTTATAGACAGGTGGTTGTTATAGACAGGTGATTGTTATGGACAGGTGTAAGTTATAAACAGGTGATTGCTATGGACAGGTGTAAGTTATAGATAGGTGGTAGTTATAGGCTTGTGTTAGTTATAGACAGGTGATTGTTATGGACAGGTGTAAGTTATAAACAGGTGATTGCTATGGACAGGTGTAAGTTATAGATAGGTGGTAGTTATAGGCTTGTGTTAGTTATAGACAGGTGATTGTTATGGACAGGTGGTAGTTATAGACAGGTGGTAGTTATAGACAGGTGGTAGAACTTTATATACTGGTGGTAGTTATAGACAGGTGGTAGTTATATACTGGTGGTAGTTATAGACAGGTGGTTATATACAAGTGGTTGTTATAGACAGGTGGTTATAGACAAGTGGTAGTTATAGACAGGTGGTAGTTATAGACAGGCGATTGTTATAAACAGGTGATTGCTATGGACAGGGGTAAGTTATAGACAGGTGTTAGTTATAGGCTGGTGTTAGTTATAGACAGGTGATTGTTATGGACAGGTGGTAGTTATAGACAGGTGGTAGTTATAAACTGGTGGTAGTTATAGACAGGTGGTTATATACAAGTGGTTGTTATAGACAGGTGGTTATAGACAAGTGGTAGTTATAGACAGGTGGTAGTTTTAGACAGGTAATAGTTATGGACATGTGTTAATTGTGGACAGCTAGGTGGTTGTTATAGACAGGTGGTAGTTATATACTGGTGGTAGTTATAGACAGGTGGTTATATACGAGTGGTTGTTATAGACAGGTGGTTATAGACTAGTGGTAGTTATAGACAGGTGGTAGTTATATACAGGTAATAGTTATGGACATGTATTAATTATGGACAGCTAGGTGGTTGTTATAGACAGCTGATATCTATAGACATGTGGTTGTTATAGACAAGTGATAGTTATAGACAGGTGATAGTTATAGACAAGTGGTTATTATAGACAGGTGGTATGTATAGATAGGTGGTTGTTATAGGCAGGTGGTATCTATAGACAGGTGGTTGTTATATACAAGTGGTAATTATATACAGGTGATAGCTATAGACAAGTGGTTGTTATAGACAGGTGGTAGATATTGCCAGGTGGTAGTTATAGACAGATGGTATATATAGACAGGTGGTAGATATAGCCAGGTGGTAGATATTGCCAGGTGGTAGTTATAGACAGGTGGTAGATATAGACAGGTGGTAGATATAGCCAGGTGGTTATAGACAAGTGGTTGTTATAGACAGGTGTTTTTTATAGACAAGTGGTAGTTATAGACATGTGGTAGTTATAGACAGGTGGTATATATAGACAGGTGGTAGATATAGCCTGGTGGTAGTTATAGACAGGTGGTAGTTATAGCCAGGTGGTAGTTATAGCCAGGTGGTATATATAGACAGGTGGTAGATATAGACAGGTGGTATATATAGACAGGTGGTAGATATAGCCAGGTGGTTATAGACAAGTGGTTGTTATAGACAGGTGTTTTTTATAGACAAGTGGTAGTTATAGACATGTTGTAGTTATAGACAGGTGGTATATATAGACAGGTGGTTGTTATAGACAGGTGGTAGATATAGACAGGTGGTTGTTATAGACAGGTGTTTTTTATAGACAAGTGGTAGTTATAGACATGTTGTAGTTATAGACAGGTGGTATATATAGACAGGTGGTATATATAAACAGGTGGTATCTATAGACAGGTGGTAGTTATAGCCAGGGGGTAGTTATAGACAGGTGGTAGTTATAGACAGGTGGTAGTTATAGCCAGGGGGTAGTTATAGACAGGTGGTAGTTATAGACAGGTGGGAGATATAGACAGGTGGTAGATATAGACAGGTGGTAGATATAGACAGGTGGTATTTATAGACAGGTGGTAGTTATAGCCAGGTGGTATATATAGACAGTTATAGACAGGTGGTTATAGACTAGTGGTAGTTATAGACAGGTGGTAGTTATAGCCAGGTGGTATATATAGACAGGTGTTATATATAGACAGGTGGTATCTATAGACAGGTGGTAGTTATAGCCAGCTGGTATATATAGACAGGTGGTATATATAGACAGGTGGTAGATATAGCCTGGTGGTAGTTATAGACAGGGGGTAGTTATAGCCAGGTGGTAGATATAGACAGGTGGTATTTATAGACAGGTGGTAGTTATAGCCAGGTGGTTGTTATGGACATGTGGTAGTTATAGACAGGTGGTATTTATAGACAAGTGGTAGCTATAGACAGGTGGTTGTTATAGACATGTGGTATATATAGCCACGTGGTTGTTATAGACAGGTGGTAGTTATAGCCAGGTGGTATATATAGACAGTTATAGACAGGTGGTTATAGACTAGTGGTAGTTATAGACAGGTGGTAGTTATAGACAAGTGGTAGTTATAGCCAGGTGGTTGTTATAGACATGTGGTAGTTATAGACAGGTGGAATTTATAGACAAGTGGTAGTTATAGACAGGTGGTTGTTATAGACAGGTGGTTGTTATAGACAGGTGGTAGATATAGACAGGTGGTTGTTATAGACAGGTGGTATATATAGCCAGGTGGTTGTTATAGACAGGTGGTAGTTATAGCCAGGTGGTTGTTATAGACAGGTGGTAGTTATAGCCAGGTGGTTGTTATAGACAGGTGGTATATATAGCCAGGTGGTTGTTATAGACAGGTGGTATATATAGCCAGGTGGTTGTTATAGACAGGTGGTAGTTATAGCCAGGTGGTTGTTATAGACATGTGGTAGTTATAGACAGGTGGCATATATAGACAGGTGGTTGTTATAGACAGGTGGTTGTTATAGACAGGTGGTTGTTATAGACAGGTGGTTGTTATAGACAGGTGGTTGTTATAGACAGGTGGTTGTTATAGACAGGTGGTTGTTATAGACAGGTGGTATCTATAGCCAGGTGGTAGTTATAGCCATGTGGTAGATATAGACAGGTGGTAGATATAGCCAGGTGGTATATATAGATAGGTGGTAGATATAGACAGGTAGTTTTTATAGACAGGTGGGAGTGATAGAGAGGGGGTAGATATTGCCAGGTGGTAGTTATAGACAGGTGGGAGATATTGCCAGGTGGTAGTTATAGATTATAGACATGTGGTAGTTATAGACAGGTGGTATATATAGACAGGTGGTTGTTATAGACAGGGGGTAGATATAGACAGGTGGTAGATATAGCCAGGTGGTATATATAGACAGGTGGTAGATATAGACAGGTGGTTGTTATAGACAGGTGGTTGTTATAGACAGGTGGTAGATATAGACAGGTGGAATATATAGACAGGTGCTCTCTAAGCTAGTTGTTTGATAACAAGACCTGTATAGAAGACTGATTAACTGCTGATTGATCATGGATATCAGAATTATACACAATATTGAGCTCTTCCAGCCTGCAGCTTTCTCGGTCATTGTTACACTTGTATGTAAATGGCT